TGAGGGCTCCTGGAGGGGCGGTCCATCGGACACCTGCGCATGTGACCTTTGAAGGGCTCGCACTGACATACTTGTTTCCTGTATGTCTTGCGATCGTTGATGATCTCCTGTTTCTTAGCCCTTTTGTCCCAAGCCTCTGGCGTCTTGGTCTTGCCACCCTTGGTACGTATTATCGCGCCAGTTTCGTCCCTTTTAGTGCAGTACTCTTTAGAATACCAGTGGCGAAGCGTGTCCATCGAGTAGCCGGGGTACCATTTGATGTACCAATCCGGCACATGCTGAGCGGATACTCCAACGGAGTGCTCAGTACTGTATGGATAGCCCGATTCATCATGTGCGGGGCGTCTGGGAGCTGAACGGCTCCTCCTGCGGGCTGGCCCCGCTGACGCACTACCACGTGCCATTGGCCTTTGGTCGTCATGCTCTGAGTCTCGGGGAGGCGACGGTCGTCTGTCCCTCTTGGCGTAGCGCATGTCCTCCGAGTCCTCGGAGCTGTCCTGGACCATGAACACGTTTTGATACGGGCTTCGGAAGTACCCGATGTCGTTTAACTGCTCCATCGTGAGGTCGTTAATGTCCATTTGATCACAACCTTGCATGAATACATCCATAGACCAAGCGGGTGGCCCCGCTGTTGTGTCTGGCGTCTCTTCGGCGGGTGACCCCGCTAGAGCTTGGAGTGCTGTCAGCATCTGAGATGCTGACATGTCCGAATCCAAGTATGGACGTAGACGTGCAACTCCTGGGTGTGACAGCAGTTCGTTCATAGTTATCTGCTGCTGTGCTGGCGCACTCAGGAGTCGGATGGCTTCTGAAGCCTGCTCTTGGAGCATGTCCTTATAATCTTCTTCGGCTTCTTCGGAGTCGGAATACGCGGGATGGCCCCGCATTTCGTCATCGGCGTCTCCCGCCTCCGAACCAGCCCACGAAGGATTTGGCAGCAACGGCATGCCAATCACTTGCGGGGCCAGCACGGCGGTGAGTTCTTCCTCTGTTGCCGGGACGGTCTCGGCTTCGGAGACCTCGTCGCCGGCGGGTGGCCCCGCTGGAAGACCGAACCAAGCATTGTACGCGACCTCGTCGACCTCGTCCCAGCCGTGGAACTCGTCGAAGAGGGTCACTGCGTAGTCTTCCAGGGCCACAGTTGCTTCAGCGTAGCGGGCCATCACGTAATACGTGGAGGAGCCCGCAGCGGGAGCCGCTTCTGGATTGACGTAAAACTCGTAGTCAATGTAATCTATGTCATCCATAAAAGAATTTTGAGCCAAATGTACGGATCCCTTTCCTTTCCCCTTCGGGCATTGATCGCGCAAATGCTCTGTGCTACCGCATGTATGACACTTCATAGTATTACCAGAAGCGTCCCTAGGGTTGCCCCTCCGCCCCTTTCCCTTACCGGAGGTCCGCCTGTGACCCCGACCTTTGCCTCCGATAAGAACTTCTTCAAAAGCCATATCAGTTAAGGACGTGAGGAAAGCAGTAATACCCCTACCATGCATACGGCGTCTGCGACCCCCTTTGCCACGACCCTTTCCAAATCGTTTGAAATGTCGGCGTACTGCACGTCTCACCTTTCTGACTGGTTTCTTCATAAAGCGCCTCCAACGGCGTTTTGATTTGCGATAAGCCATAAAAGCGGCTTCCGCCCTTTGTTGTTCAGAGAGGTGAGTGTCATCCGCTGGGTAGTCATTACCAGCAGAGACTATTCCATTGTGCTCATCGTCAGATGAGGTATCTGTGTCAGTGCCAGATTCAAACGGTGAGGGTGGCTGAGACCATTGAGCGGATGACTCCGCTTGGCCCCAGAGGGTTGTGCCCGAGGGCGGGCTTGCAGTGTAGGCGGCGCCTGGCGAGTAGTTCGACCAGGCGTTCGCCTCAGCTGCCTCTGCCGATGCCTGGCCGGTCTGCCCTAGAAGGGCAGTGGCCTCGTTGGGCATATCGGCTGGGTCAGCCCAGGGATTTGGCTCGCCAGGACCAGCGGGTGACCCCGCAGTCGTGGCGTAGACACCTGCATGTGAGTGGTGCCCTGTGAAGATACCCGCTATGTTGCCAGGAGAGCGCTCGGCAACATGTCCGTAGTTCCTCATCCTGGTCAGCAGCCTGTCATAGTCTGCTTGTGTTCGGGGCATCTGATGATTGAAGGGCTCAAGCAGGTGTTGGGCTCGTGACGCGCCAACGCCTAACGCTCTGAAGAGAATCAGCGTTAGGATCTGAAAGTTGGGGATGACAAAGCCAACGGAGTTAGCCTCGTCACGGGCCATCTCGAACCGAGCTAACACTGAGTCGATTCGCTCGCCCCTTTCGACGCGAAAGTCGATAAGGGCAGTGCCAGAGTTGAGCTGGCGCTCATCTTCCAGATTTTCAAATTTGGTGCTCAGTAAGTACAGTATATATGTTACTGCATCCGTTGGCTGTCCATTGACAGTTACACCATAATTGATGATCTGGGAGGGGACCTGCATGGCGATACGACGAGCCAGACCTTGAAGGCCTCGTTGTAGTGCTGCAGCTTGTTGTGGTGGTGTCATATTGCCACTCGTTACGTTTAACCATGCATGTACTTCGCGAACGTATTCGCGAAAAGGCGTAGTACCGGCAGGGTCCCATGAAGGGCCAGTAGTACGCGTGTCGTCCATCCCCTGCCGCATGTATCCCACAGCACATCCCATTATTACCCACAGAATGCCGAATATAGTTATCTTGATCCAATGCATGTGCATTTCGGCTTCGGTGATTGGTTTAGGCTGTGGTTTGTCAGGCTCTGGCGTAGTAGCCGTGAGGCGCCTGACTGGCACGGGATGCAGGTGGCCCCGCTGCGGGTAGCCCCGCAGGGTGACCACGTTCTCGATCGAGTTGCCGATTGGCATCTGGTGGAAGTCGGGAGTGAAGTAGCGCAGTGAAGTAGGAGAGAGCGTCTCGAGTTCGCGGGTTGCCCCGCTAGCTCGATCGCGGACTGGCTCCGCTCCTCGCAGAGCCGGCGCAACATGGTATTCCACCGTAGTAGTAGTCCACCAAGTTGTGCCGTGGATTACAGGAATCAGAGCGAGAGCCAGCCACACGAGAGTGTAGCCAGCTCCGCTACCAAGTCGAAAACAAGCTGGTAAGCTTAGGTATGTGTTACGCTTTAAGCGTTGCCATATCCCAGGCTTTGGCTCATATCGCATGAGCAAGAGAGCAAGACGAAGCATGGGATCTGGAGTAAAGGATAGGATGGGCATCGTCAATGGAAAAGGTATTTTCCGATCTCTGATGCAAGTCGTGCGCCTCAGTGAGGCACAGTCATATATTGGCCGGGCCCGGCTTGAGCCAGGCACGGCAGCGGTACATGCTCGATTTATACCTCGCCTTTAACCTTCTCCGTTTAAAGTGGGGTGACGCCGAAAGGGGGCGCGCAAGGTGGCCAGATCCAAGCGAGCAAGCAGCCGCGAAAGCATCGCGTTCCGCAATCGGGGGGGGGGGGGGGGGCGATGTTGCGCAGGGACTGACCGTCCCGGCATTCCTATAGGCCTTCCACGACATGTTCTGAGAACCCAGCAATGTTCTTATCTAATAACCAAAACGATGTTCTTAGAACATAAGACCCGTGTGTCAAAACAAGGCAGTCTGAGCCAACATGGTTCTAAGAACATGTCGTGCAGACCACAAAAGGTTATTATAACATGCTTATAGGCAAGCCAGCACGTTTCGCCACTGCTTGACGATGAGCCCGCACCACATCCCACTCCGGCAAAAGGCCACTCTCACGTGCAGTCGAAGGCGGCGGGGCAGGCTGCCGAGAGAACCCCCTGGCCGGCCAGGCCCACCGCGGACGCGCGGGCCCCGCCAGCATCGAGGCCGCGCATACATGGATTGGCGATCCATGGATTTGGCGCGCGGTCGCCAAGTCCATGGATCGGGGGAGGTGCCCTCCCCAAAATGCGGCCAGTGCCGCCTCGCTCGGCGGCGGAAATCTGCGATTTCCCAGGTAAACGCGACCCGTCGCTAATCCACGCCCCCTTGATCCATGTTTGCGATCGCAGGGCCTGGCAGCAGGGGCGGCCTCCTCAGCGTCGCGAGCTCCGGCGGAGCGCCCGTGGCCGGCCTGGCCGCAGTGGTGCCAGGAGGGGCGGGGCTCATGCCTCGCGAGGGGGTCGCGAGGCGCGCGGGCCTGGCGCTGGAGCCCCCGACGATGCCTCTCGAGCGCCCCCCCTGCGCCCGCGGGCCGGTGCCGTGAGGTCTGCCCCCCGTCGAACCAACAAATGGCTGCGGAGGATGGGGAGGAGGAGGCGGAGGAGGAGGAGGAGGCGGAGGAGGAGGAGGAGGCGGAGGAGGAGGAGGCGGAGAAGGAGGACCCCACAGGAAGCGGGGGCTCTCCTTCGACGAGTCCTGCAAGGGCGAATGCTGAGGCCAGGCCTCGGTAGGCTGGCAAGTGATGCCTGCGGGGAGCAGGCCGCTCAGGGCCGCTCAGAGCTGGGAGCACGGCGCCGTCGAAAGCACCCCTCTGGGCCCCGGGCCCCAGGAGGGAACCACCGCGGACACCTCCCGAGCCAGCGGGCTGTCGGGCGCAAGGACTGTGATCTGGGGAGCTAGCTAGTTCCCAGAACTCCGACGGCGTAATTCTTGGTCCTTAGACCTCCAACATGATGGCAAAATTCAGTTCGGAGGTTTTTCTCAACTTTCGGCCCCCAGGGGACCCCGCCGGGCCCCTGGACCGTCAAAAAACAACTCGCGATGAGAACCTGGCCCATTGGGAACGGGTTGGGACTTTCTGGGGGCCGCGCTTTGGAAACAAGAAAACATCGGGTTTTGGGTCTAGACCCCTTCCCCGGCACAGGTGCTTCCGCCCTGGCCGTTGCTGACGGTCCCAGCGCCAGGCGAGGGCCCCCGGAGGCCGCGAAAATAGCCAAACACCACACTGTCACACGCCGCAATTTTTTCCGCAACGAGAGAAGGCCGGGGTTTGGCGAAAAAGCCCGCCGAGACCGCCATCCCGTGGCCACACGGCGGCTGAGGCGCGGCGCCAGCTTCCCCGTCTCGTCCACGGACGACTGGTTGAGACGGAGGGAGAAGCCGCTCAGCCGGCCTAGGAACAGCTCCTGGCGCTCCCTCTCGGACACGACCGACACGTACACCTCGGGCCGCCGTCATCGTCTTCATCGCCGTCGTCGGCGTCGGCGTCGGCGCCGGCGTCGGCTTTGGCGGCGGCGGCGTCGTCGGCGTCGGCGTCGGCGTCGGCGTCGGCTTCGGCGGCGGTGTTCGGCGTCGGCGTCGTCGTCCCAGCAGGCAGCGCGGCCGCTGCTCGGGGCGCCTCCCGGCCCGCCCGCCTCCTCCCGCCTGCGAACAACCACGGGTCCTCCCTGTCGCAGCCCTGTGCAGCAGGTTCGCGTCGTGCCGACTCTTCGGCGTTGGTTTTTCTCCGACACCGCGGGGACACATCGACGAAGGTACGGAAACAATGTGCACGATGACTGGCAACAGTTCTCGGCGGCGAGCCCGGGGGAGAAGTTCGGGGTTCGAGGTTTTCGGGCGTCGTCGTCCGTTCTCGGCGGTTTTCCAGCCTCCGGTTGCGTTCAAACAGCTGCGCCTCGCCGCGGGCGTTCCAGGGGTGCCCGGATCGTCCCGAACGGCCGCTGGAGAGCCGAGCTATGTCCCGAAAGCTAGACATCAAGCGTCAGGTACGATCGAAATGGGTACGGCAGGCTCGTGTTGTGTCGACCCCGTCGCTGGTTCCTAACATCGCGGGAACCTTGCAGTCTTGATACGTCAGATCTTTCAACGTCGACCGATTCTGGGTTGCCAGCGGCGTTCCACTCTGAACGCCGGCGGCGGGGCCGCCGCTTGTCGACACGACGCGAAAGTATATCACACATCACACAGCGCGGCCGTGCGAGCACAGCAAACGCGCGCCTGACCAGAATGTGACCCGGCCCCGAACACCTTGACCTTCTAAGTGAACCCTGGCATCAGCACGGGGGAAATCAAGGGGTTACTCCCCGGAGCTCTCCTGGGGTGCGTTCTGACCAGGACTTCGGGGCGAGTCCAGCGGTGGCGATGAGGGCCTCCCGCCCAGGAGGCCCGAACAGGGGAAAACGCAAGAAAAGTAGCGGTGTGCGTGCCTTTGCCCTCCTCTGAAGAGCAGTGTCACCAGGGACTGCCCCTGCTCCCCTCGCCTCCCTAACCACCCATGGGGGGACAACGTATTTAGGGGCGGGGACGATCAGGGGAAGCATCTCGAGCTGGAATCGGCGGTAACTCGCCGGCAGGTCGGCGATAATCCACGCCCCCTTGATCCATGTTTGCGATCGCCTGACCCTATCGGCGATCAATGAGCGATCGGGGATCGACTGATTCCCCCCTGAGCGCATCCCCCCCTGACATTGCCCTTGCACTTGCGGGTCATTGCCCGGCAATCTCTGGCGGCCGACCGGGACGGTCCAGGCACCCCCGGGAATGCTGGAACGCTCTCGGCGAGGCGCAGCCGCTGGAGGACATCCCGAGGCTGGAAAGCCGCCGAGAGCCGACGAGAACGCCTGAAAACCTCCTACCTCGAAGCCGAAACTTCCCATCGGGGAGAGGAGGGGGGCGACATTCCTTCCCCCCCAGCGTTGCCCCTGATGTCTCCGTCGCTCACCGTACGAGAACGGGGCTCATGCACCGTACCATGGTTGGACTCCCTTCAGGCCCTGCTCCGGGGCGGTCACGTGCATAGTAATAATGCCGAAGTAATAATGCACCGACCGTCCGGCCCGACCACATGCAGCTGTGAGTACCGCTTCGTGAGGACACGAAGCGCGGGAGGGGTGTCCTGTAAGGGATGGGCGGGACGCCTGCGGCCGCGGCCACTGGGGCTTTCGGTAAAGCTCCCTACGGGGCCACGAAGCGCTGTACTTGGCGGGGGGGGGGCGCATGCGGCCGCGGCCACTGGGTCCTTCAGTAAAGCTCCCTATGGGGCCACGAAGCGCTGTACTTGGCGGGGGTGTGCGCGTGTGGCCACGGCCACTGGGGCCTTCGGTGGAGCTCCCTACGGGGCCACGAAACTCTGTACTGGGTGGCGCGGACGCATGCGACCGCGGCCGCGGCCACTGGGGCCTTCGGTGGAGCTCCGCATGGGGCCACGAAGCGCTGCACTGGGCCACGCGGACGCATGCGAGCGTCGCATGTGGGGCCTTCGGTGGAGAACCCTATGGGACCACGGAGCGCTGTACTGGGCCACGCGGGAGCATGCGACCGCGGACATCCGGGCCTTCGGTGGAGCTCCCTGTGGGGCCACGAAACAGTGTACTGGGTGGCGCAGACGCATGCGAACGCGGCCACTGGGCCCTTAGGTGGAGCCCCCCCTGGGGCCACGAAGCGCAGTACAAGGTAGCGCGGACGCATGCGAACGCGGCCTCTGGGGCCTTCGGTGCAGCTCCCTATGGGGTCAAAAAATGCGTCAGGGATGTACCGCAATGGTTGACATGAGGAAGGCAGAGGCAGGGGTGGGAGGCGGAGCAGAGGGGAGGAGAGAAGACGCGGGGCGCTGTCTCTTCAAAACGAGGGCCCAACATCACAGGACGCTTGGGAACAGGACTGTCTCAGCCAGAAACGTTCTCAGAACAGCTCGTGCAAACAATTGGAAAGAAGGTTATTGGAACCATTCCCTGGTGGGCCGATTGGCGAGTCGGGACGCTTCGCCACTGCCTGAGGAGCCACTCCTGGGGTCGAAGATCGGCGACGGTGCTACGGTGCGCGCCAACACGCCAAGCGTCCGCGCTCTCGCCGCCTCCCGCCCGTGGCAGATATGGCGCGTGAGCGGCAGGGGCTCCACCGGGCCCGCGGGCGCCGCAGGGGCTCCAGCAGTCGTGTGGTGTGGACTGAGGTTAACGACCAAAGGGTCGAACCTGCCGTAGGGTCCGTAATTAGGTAGTGCACGTTTCTCCTCACGGCCCGATGAAGGTCGGGCGCAATGTCATATCCAATACCTAAGCCGAGAGGATTGCAGGATAGATGGATAGGATGGAGAGGAGCGGCCTTCACACCCAAATGGGTGCCAAATGTTCGGACCTGCCCTCGCGGGAGTGGACAGAACTTTTGATTCCTGGAGGGAGCGTTTTGGCAAGCACTGCGTGCACGAAGGGGACAGGAGAAAGGGCAAAGCCACCCGCCACTTCGTGCGTCCGGCACCAGCGGCACGGGCGCGCCCTAGCTCCTGCCTCACCGCGACCCGCAGGTCAGGAGAGGGTCCCCCAAGGGGCGGGGCTGGAGTCGCGGAGGCGCTGCCCGAAGGAGGCCGAGGCTTGCCTTCCAGAGGGAGAGGATCTGAGCTGCTGCGAGAGTTGAAGGTGCCCGACAGGTCTTGCGTTATCCCCCGGGCTTGCTTGGCCATCGTGGGTCCGTTTCTGCTCGACGGGGGGTCCTGGGGTCAGGTCGGGCATGTCCCCCTATAGGCGGATTTGGACCAAACATGAAAAATAGTCAAAACATGCCCCAAAGTCCCAAAGTAGTCCACAACTGCTTGAAAAAAAACGTCCCCCTACCACTTCTTAACTATTCTTGTATATTCCTCCTGTAGAGGGACATGCCCGACTTCATCCTGGAGGAGAGGGTCCTGGGCGGAAGCGTTCGGCGAGAGCGCCGCCGCACCCTGGCCCTCATCCCGAGGGGCGGGGTGCGAGCTTCCAGGGGGAAGATGGGAGTGGACCACATGACGGAGCCTCCAACTTGCACAGCCTGTTGCACGGTCGGTGTTCAAGCTGCACGCACTGGGGCAAACAGGGGAGAGGACATGAGCGGCACGCGGCCACCGAATCCCACCACGGGATGACCAGCACAGTAGCGTGAAACAGAATATCGCCCGGCAAACCATCAACGCCACACGAACCCACCTGCCATGGGCCATTGGCAAAGCCAAGCGATGATCAACGGCCTGCAATGAGAGAACAAAACAAGAGGGGGACATCGAGGGAGGCGGCGAGACAAGAGGGAGGGCGTGGACAGATCTTAGGGGTGTCGAGAACTGTGCGGTGACGGACCGTGGAAAGACCGCGGACAACTCCGAAGACTCCACCGCACGGTCCGTCACCGCACGGTCCTCGGAGCTTGCTTGGCGGCTCCAGCTGCCCGAGACATTCTCGGAGAACGACCCGAGGCCCAAAACAATTCGATGACCCTGAGCTCTCACCGGCTCACCACAATATGGTCACCACACCGTCTGGGGCCCCCGCGAAGAACCACCTTCAGCAACACACCCTTTGGTGAAGCCGACCGGAAACCAAACCCGACAGGCGCAAGCCGACAAACAGTACGGCCACAATGCCCTCTCGGGAACCGATAAGGGGCAGATCACGAATTGACTTGGCAGGCCCCGGAACCATCAAAAATGGAAGAGGATCGGGGACGAATAACTACTCTCAGAGAAGCGGTCGGTACCTCTGCGCCTCGGATCGAAACAAGCAGATCGGCGTCAGGGCATCCGCCCCCTAGGACTACACGAAGCCCCTCTGGCCTACAAGTCGCCCTCCCCGGCGGACTTTTGGCCCCCCGCAGCCCGCACTGGTAGGCCCTCAGAGTAACTCGCGCAGCCGCTGCGGTAGCCAGCTGCACCGCGTGTGTTCCCGCGCTGATGGCAATGGCGAAAGCAGGGTGTCAAAGCGTTGTCAGCAATGGCGCTGCTGCTGGGCCTGCTGCTGATGGTGCCAGGTGTGTTTTTCATGCTGCGTTTGATCAACCTGGAACTTCTGCTCAGTGGCGTGCTCGTTCATAGCGCAATCGGAGTATTAAATTCCGCCATGTAGCCAAAATGCCTCATCAATGCTACTTCCTCCTCCTCCTCCTCTTCCTCCTCCTCCTCCCCCTCTTCCTCCTCATGTTCTTACTGCCGATGCTCCTGGCTGTCAGCTTCATCGCGCGCCTTGCTGAGCTTCAGGTGCAGGTCCAGGTGTGGCCTGGCACACAGAGCTCAGTGGGTTGAAACGAAGAGCGAGACACGTCTGTGATGACCCAGATCCGCAACCCAGACACGGTAATCTGCAGCGTCTCCCTCGCTAGCTCGGAGAGCAGAGTGGACGCAACCCGTGCACTTACAAAAGCACATACACCCTGATCGATATACACATATAGATATGCATAAATATACGTAGATGTACGAACAACTATATGTATGCTTGTATGTAGGTATGTATGTATGTATGTATGTATGTATGTATGTGTGTATGTATGTATGTATGCATTTATGAATGTATGATTGTGCTGCAGCTTTGTGTACAGGGGAGCAGGGAAAGAGAGAGAGAGGGAGATAAAGACACACACACACAACAGAGACAAGGAACGAGAAGTACACACACGTGTATATATATACACACATACATGTATGTACATCGCCAGATAGACACGATGTCGATGCGCAGGTAGCGCAGAAGACATACCCATCCATACGCGCAAACACACATTCACACATTCACACAGACACACAGACACACACGTATACACGTATATAATTCTACATGGTAGCCGCACGCATATATCTATGATCATATACATACACATATGTGTAGGCGCTTGTACATATCAATACAAGGAGCTGAACGGTCTTACACCATCCCTTGATCCATGGCTTACGTGTGATTCCACACCGCTAAAATTGTCTGTTATGTTGTGTGTTGCTGATTGCTTGTTGTGTTGTTGTCGTCGTCCTCACCTGCGACCCACCCGCGAGCCGCCCGCAACCCGCGCGCGACTCTCCCGCAACCCACCCTCAACCCGCCCGCGCCCCACCCGCGCGCCTCTGGCGACTCACCCACAATGCTCTGACAGAAATTTGGCGCCTGCGGCGGGCTCGGCGTGCACTCTGTTTGGAACAAAAGTCAAAACATATATATATATATATATATGTATATCTATATAGATATGTTATATATATATATATATATAAACGGCGCCTGCGGGAGGGCCTCTTGGAACCTCGCAGACTGCCGACGACCCCGCCGCCCCCTCACTCTAAGCATCAACAGCGGGGGCGATGGGGCACCACATACGTATGAAGCCATACACGTGCAGATATAACCACGCGTATAAACAAGTATATGTGCGCGTCTACATGTACATGTACGCATGAGTGAGGGGGGTGAGAGAGAAAGAGAGAGAGAGAGAGAGAGAGAGAGAGAGAGAAAACAAAAAAAAAAAAAAGAGAGAGAGAGAGGGACAGACAGAAGGAACGCACAAAAACAGAGGAAGGGAAAGACACATAGACAGAAAGAGAAAAATATAGAGACACTACAAAAAATGAGAGAGAGAGAGAGAGAGAAAAGAGAGAGAGAGAGGGAGAGAGAGGGAGGGGCCGGGGGATCGCTGCCACCGTGCCTTCAGGACGCAAAAAGGCGCTCCAAAGCTCATGCAATTGGACGGAAGTTCTGCAAGGTTTTTTCAGTGCCGAGAACACGGGATTTCCCAAAATGTCCGGCGCTCCCCAAAATTCGTGGGCGCTCGTGAGGTTTGTCGCGTGAGGACCGAGTCAAGCGGCACAACGCCTTACGAGACCAGGCTTTCTTCGCCGCGCAAGCCGCGGGGTTCCCAGGCTCCGAGCTCGAACGGCCTGGCCTTCTGCAGCCTCGCGCGAGCGGCGAGGGCCCGCCTGGGACGAAAGAGAACGGCGGCGAGCTCGACGACGGCGGCCGACGCCCGGCGGATGTGTATATTCCCCGTTGGCGTAACGGCGCCCCGGCCGCCCTTGACTTCGCGGTCACCTCGGGGCTGCGGGGCGACCTGCTCGCCGCCTCGGCTGCCGCGCCTGGCGCCGCGGCCGAGCGCTACGAGGAGCAAAAACGCCTCTTCCTCAACACAGAGCGCAGCTGCGCCGCCGCTGGGATCACCTTTATTCCCATGGTGGTCGAGGCGCACGGCGGCGGCTGGGGCAAGGAGGCGCGACGCGCCCTGGCCGTCCTGGCCAAGCGCGCGGCAGACGCCACGGGGGACGACCCCTCGCAGGTGGCGGCGGAGCACGCCCAGCGACTCTCGCATCTCCTCCAAAGGGAGAACGCGCGGGCCGTGCTCCGCAGGCTACAGGCGCCGGTCGGGGCGCCCGCGGCCAGGTTTGCGGCGGCCACGGCGGCCAACGCGGCCGACGCCGCCTGAGCCGCCGGCCCACTCCCCCTCCCCTGACTACGACCACCGCCCCCGGCCCGCCCCAACGACCGCGACCGCCCCCGACGCCCTGCCCTGACTTGACCACGACCGCCCCGACGACTGCGACCGCCCCCGACGACCACGACAGCCCCCGACGACCAACGCCCCCGACGCCCTGCCCTGACCACGACCGCCCCGACGACCACGACCCTCCCCGACGACCACGACCGCCCCCGACGACCAACGCCCCCGACGCCCTGCCCTGACCACGACCGCCCCCTCCCCCGTCCACGACGACGACCTCCTCCGTCCGCCCCCTCGTTCCTGCTTGCTCTGCGCTGCCTCTGCCGCTCCCCTCCCTCCTCAAGTCCTGTTCGGCGTTTGTTCGCAATGCTTTTTCTTTTTGCCCCTCCTCCTCCTCCTCCTCCTCCTCCTCCTCCTCCTTCCCTCTCTCCCTCTCGCCGGAGTCTGCGTGCCTCTCAGCGGGCGCTCCGGACGGGCGGCACCTCCGGCGCCAGGCAGCCTGCCGCTCTTTTAGCTGTTTGCCCCAGAATCGACGGCTGTAGGGCCAGCGGAAGTGCTCTGCCGATGCGCCGTCTAGGCGCCGCTTCTTCCTGTCCTGTCATGGTAGGCCTGCGCAGAGCGGACAGCTGCCGATACTACGTTTCCTGCTGAGCGCGCCTGAAAAAAAAAAAAGTTTTTTCAGTGCCGAGAACACGGGATTCCCCAAAATGTCCGGCGCTCCCCAAAATTCGTGGGCGCTCGTGAGGTTTGTCGCGTGGGTCTCTTGGACGGTGACCCGACCGATAACGACCCGAAAAAAACCCAAAGGGTCCCCGAGAAGCGCCCTAGAGGGTCTACGGGCGCCCTGAGAGTGCCCCCAGACACCCAAAGACTGGCCACGACGCCCTCCAGAAAACCCCAGAAGCCCGAAGAAACCCTAAGAATGCGCCGGGAAGCTTAGCGTTCTCCCCTGTTTGGGTTCCCGACGCTCCAAGACGGGCCACGAGGCCCCCAGAATCGCCCGAGGACGGCCCAAGAGGCCCCCATACGCGCATACAGAATTACACACATACGTACATGCATGCGTATATATAAACGCACGCGTACACATGCGTTTATCGTTTATAAAGATGCAAACATGCATGTGTATATAGAATGCCATGCGCGAATGCTGCGCGAGCACACCCATAATGATACAATGTATACGTGTATAGATACCGAACACCTTATTTCAAGTGGTATTGGCATGCACATATAGTTGGTGGAAGCATATATACGTACACGCACTATGACCCAGATAACTCTGCGCACGTAATTATTTCTTATACACGTGAACATGTGGGTGTATATTCAAAACTATATACATAAACGTATGCATGCACGTCTATATGTAAATTCATGTGTATATGGGTGTGCATGCATGCATCCGCATATATATATATATATATATATAGAGAGAGAGATCGAAAAAAAACCATCGCGCGCGCTTCGCGCGCGCTTTGGTTCTAGCCGAGATCACGGCAAGGCCCTGACAGAAGTATCAAGGCAGTCCTTTTCTGATGTGTATATATATGCATATATATATGTCCGTCCTTCTCCTCCTCCTCCTCCTCCTCCTCCTTCTCCTTATCCTTCTTCTTTTCTTCCGCCTCCTTCGTCCTCTTCCTCCTCCTCCTCCCCGCCTGTCTCTTTCCTCCGTTTCCTTAGTTCCCTTCCTTCTCCTCCACCACCTCCTCCTCCCTCATTTGCTTCTGCTCCTCCTACACGTTCTTATTATGTTCCTCTTCCCTCTCCTCCTTTTCCTCCCCCTCCTCCTCCTCCTCCTCCTCCTCAAGACCCTGTGCCCTTCCTCCTCCTCCCCCTCCCCTTCCCTGGCCCGGACGCCTCCCGATCCGGGCGGCCTCCCCGGTCCGGATACCCCTGGGAACCGTAGGCCCCACGACCCTTGAAGTCGGCGCCAGGAGTCTTCCGAATCCTTCGGCCCCTGGGCGCTCCTGACCTCTAGGGTCGAAAATCCTCAAACGCGGCTCCACGACCCATCGGCTTCCGAGACTCTTCGGCCCCGCGACCCGCGGAGTGACAAGGAGGGACACGCGGCAGAAGCAAAGGAGAGAGAGGGAGAAGTCGAGGGGAAACAGGACGAGGCGGAGGAGGAAGAGTGAGAGGAACAGAAATAGGAGGAAGAGCAGCCAGAGGAGGAGGATCAGAGGAAGGAGGAGGGGAAAGGGCCGCCAAGGAGGGATCATGCGCTTGAGCAAAGGGATGGGGCTTATGTTCCCGGGAGTCTTCCTGGGAACATCTTGCGCGACAGGAGGAGGAGCCCGAGAAAGAAGAGGAGGGGAACGAGAAGGAGGATAATATCGGTGAGGTGGAGAAAGGGGGGCACGCGGAATTATATTCCCGGGGGGCTTCCCGAGAACATATTTCGTGACAGCGGGAGGAGGAGCCCGAGAAGGAGGAGGAGGACAGAAACGAGGAGGAGGGCTAGAGCAGGAGGAGGAATCTCGAGAAGGAGACGGAGGAGGAGGAGGAGGAGGAGGAGGAAGAGGAAGGGGGGGAGCAGGAGGATGAGAAGGACGAGGAGGACAGACACGCAGGACAAGGTGAGCGGCAGGAAGAGGAGGAGGAGCAGGACGAGCAGGACATAAGGAGTAGGCGGAAGGGAAGGAGGGTGAGGAGGAGAAGAAGGGGAGCGGGAGGAAGGGAGGTTCAGAGGGAGCAGGAGGAGGTAGAAGAAGGACAGGGGGAGGTGCCTGAGTAGCATGAAGAGCAGCCGCAGCGGGAGGAGGACATGGGAAGAAAGACGAAGGGGCAGGGTGGC